ATTAGTCGTGATTAGTTTTGAAAAGGCAACAACATCTGAGGCCCAAAACTAAACAGCATCAAAAACAAATCGAAAAAAATTCCGCAAGTCGCGAATGCTCGACTAGTGCATACCCTGTAGACAGCGGCGTATGGGCGCAACAGCCATTTTTATAGAGAACGTTTTTCGGGATACACAAACAGTTCGAATATAATCAGTTTATCTGCCATATCAATGATAATTCGAATACTATGTACATATATGGACCTGATCCGTCTGTCTGCCAACTTTTTACTTGCATTTTCGGACGCAGGAATAATCCGGTTAGAGCCTCTTTATTATATAGTTCCAATCAAAAAAGGATTTAGTCCGAATATAAACATTGTCAGTTTCTATCTCGTATTAAAGATAATTCCAATACAAAAATTATTCTTCTGCTTCTTCTTTTGACAAGTGTCTCGATAAATATTTCATCAGCTGCTGTAAATCGATATTTATCGATATGTTCGTAAATGTAGACATGTGGGCATAATTATATAGATATATATGCGCCTTAGGCTTGTAGATGTCTTTTTCTAATTGTTACATGCGCGGGCACAAAGTCAATATAACCTTTCGATGGACATTTTCAATGGCTACAGGGTATTGAAAGGAGCAACAAATGCATAGAAATGGCCAATTTCCAGTTGTTTGTCGGCCAGTTTGCGGTTGTTGCCAGTTGCTGCCAGTTGTTGTTGCTGCTGTTGTTGTTGTTGTTGCTGTTGTTGTTGTTGTTGTTGTTGTTGTTGTTGCCACGCGCCATGTGCAGCAGCCAGCAGCAGCAGCAGCAGCGGCAACAAGTCAAGCGCCACTTTGGACTCTTGACAAATTGTGAGCAACGTGCACAATTGAAACAATTTAATCCAAAGCAACAACAACAACAACAACAACAACAACAACCGTTGGAAAAAACGGTGGCAACTGAACTGAAATGCTTAAACTCTATGTTGCACGTTCGCACAGTGGGGCAGGCAGCACAAATTCCTGACAAATGGTGCAAAGAAAATTGAATTATTCTAAGGTAAGAAAGAAAAGCTGCACACAATTTAAAATGAGTTATACTTCAGTGATTGATTGATTGACTGACTGACTGATTGACGCTGAAGCTAGCTGTCGGCATTTTTGACAGCAGCCAACTTTTCCGCTCTAATTTCACGCCAAGACGTGGTTTTGGGCCATTCCGCACTTTACTGTGGAAGATTGCCGGAAAATGTTTAAAATTTCAATTAATTTTTTTTATCCAATTTAGCTAAAATTTCTTACAAAAGAACTTTGTGCGAATTCAATAGCAATATTTTCCACTTTACGGTGAATCCACCGCGCCAGATGGAATATGAGCGAAAATTAACTCAACTCACAACTATTCTAAAACTTCATTTGAAAAAACTTCAATGAAAAAACTTAACTGAATACGTGTTCTATCAATTTAAATAATTTTCTTGTCCAAGTGCGGAAAATGCGTGAAAAGCTATTGGTGAAAAATTGCTTTCCGACAGGCTGACAACGGGGGGAAATTTGACTAGCTAAAATCAAAATTAAGATAAGTTTAATCAAATTGTTCGCTCATAAGAACCAGTTGCAACAAGCAACATTTGGAAAATGTAACTAGTTAAAAACGCGGTTAAAATTGCTTTTATCAATTTGTTCGTTAATCGGAACCAGTTCAAAGCAGCACACAAAACGAACTAGCTGGCAACAAAAACAATTCAACAACAGACAATTTGTGATAAATTGTTTTTCTTGTTGTACTCAATGTCAATCAATGCTCGAATAAGCGAACATTTAAGTGTGCCGCGGCAAAGAACTGGTTCACAATTGAACTGTTCACATTAAAATAGCAATCGAATGATTAATTGCCTTTTACCGTTCGCTCAAGTGTTATCGGTTCCAATAAGTGATTCGTTTTATATATCAGAGGCTATTAATAAGAAACCACAACACCAGACCCTGCACCTGTGTGTGTGCGAGTGTGCGAGTGTGCGAGTGTGCGAGTGTGTGTCTGCATATTTATCGATAACTAGTGAAAAGCAGCGCATGCATAAACATGTCAGCGAGCGAGTTTTTAACAAATGCCAACGAGCAAACACATGTCAGGCCGAGTCCAGAGCAGAGCAGAACAGTGGAGGGGAGGAAGGGGCGGGAAGGGGAGGGGAGTAGTGGCTTCTGCAGCAAACAGAGGGGGGGGGCAGCTAAGTGGAGAGGCGATGAAGGGAATGGGGCAGGGGCCTTGCTGGCCAGTTAGATGGTATCAGCTCCTTTGCGTGTAACACCGGGCGTATGATGAATGTGCATTTAATTGCGGCCTGCCAATTGGCTAGGGCATGCGAGGGCGGGGGCGGGGCGAGCAGAGGGGGCGGGGCGAGCAGAGGGGGCGGGCAGTGGCCCAGCTTGTAGGCGGCAGCTGTGGGCCGCTAAATGTTGCCATTTATTCGTATTACAGATTATAAATATTCCAATCGAAACATTCGAAAACAAAGCAAAGCGAAAAAAAGGCCAAAGCATACGAACACGACAGCAAAATAGTTAATAAATAATTAATAAATAAAGTTAACAAATGGCAACAACAAGAGCCAAGAGCTGCGGCTGATTTGCATATCAACATTTCACATTAAATTCTATTGAAAGCTTTTCTCACTTTAGCGTCAATTTGTTGTTGTTGTTAATTTATTTTTTGTTTTGCTTCTTGTTCTCCTCATTTCTGAAATTCAATGAGCCGCATTTCCAGCCTCAATTACCAGCTACTTACGAGCTGCTGCCGCCTCCGCAGCTAGAGATGGGCGCGTGACACGAAGCGCATGTCGTGCGTGTCTCGATAGCGATAGTTCGCGAGTGTATAAGTCGCCCACACTTAACTGCTCGAATAACAGTTGTGGCTCTTATTTAGTAATATATCTATAAATATATCGATAGCTTTCACAGATGTGTCGATGAATATATCGATATTTATCATGCAGAATAATAAACAAACTATAAGAAGTATATCAATAACTATATCGCCAAACGGAATATAAAAAATGAAAAGTTTTTAATAATCCTATCGATATACCTATCACTTTAAGTATCAATAAAGCAAGCTAAACAAACTAATCGATAAATGTATCACAAAAATATCAACAAAGATATCTAACAATAGATTGACACATCTCATTGGTGAAGTCCTAGAGGCAATATGATGCGCTTGCATATAAGTGAAGCTTATTCGAAAGTACTTGAAAAACTATCGATAAATGAATCGATAAGATTTTACTCGAAACATATCGATAAATATATAGGCTGCAATGAAAGCAATCGAGTTTAAAAATATGTTAATGCTGCATCTTTTTATCGATAAACGTATCATAGAATATATCGCCAGAACATATCGATACTTTTTGGCTTGTGGTTCGTGTCGAAAAAAGCAGCCATCTCTAATCGAAAAGTTCTGAACGAACCGCAACAAACGATCAATACAATCGGTAATGCATTTATTGGCATTGATTTACTCGGAAGACCCGTCCCAGCCCCTGCCCGGCCCGGCCCGGACCGTCTGTGGGAAAGGGGAAACGTCAGGTCGCGGGTGCTGGCACTGGCACAAAATTTATGATGGCATTTACCTAATGGCAATGCCGCAATGTAAAATGCAAAATAACTGAAATGTGCGAGAAATATGCAAAAATGTATAGTGTTATTTGTAATTTACACGAAATATAACATCCACACATAATACATGTGTCTATTGATAATACATTTGCATCATTAATCAACTGAAAAACTAATTTATGTGATAAAAACAAACGTAAAATATGGAGACAACTTTATGGAAGCTTCTACAAGACTGTTTTCTGAACTTAGCAATACTCAAGCTATGGCCAATCGGAAATGAATATTATAGCCGAAGTAAAATTGATTGAAAATACATAAATACATTATTAACTTCTTTTGAAAAACGCCCAAAAGTCCGCCACAAATTTCGTTAGTTTTTCGCTTCAGAAGCTCAACGAATAGTTGTAGTTGATACATACACCAAAGCGTTGCTAACTAAACGAACTGTCAGCGCATACCAGCACCACACGTTATTAACGTAGACAGTCGTATTTTGACACACCCATGGTACTCAAATTCAGGTTTCTGAAGCGAAGACAACAGACCAACATAAATAGGCTTAGTAGGGATAGCAACCACATTAAACAAACCTGTTCATAGTTCTTTTCTTTGTCTTTTCTTTCTCATTTATAAAAGGCATTTGTAAGAATAAACAATAATAATAATAATAATAATATAAAAGCATAAAATTATATAACATTTTACCTATTTCATAAGCGCAACAAAGCTTTCATTAAGACAACAAAAGCACAAGTTAGGCCCCTCACCCGCAGCTAAGACACACAACCAGTGCTAAATTCTGCTGTACGAAAGAGTACTAATCGTATACTGAGCCTTAGCACAAGCAGCCTCCACTTAAAACACCGTGGCAACTTTTTACACTATGTTATTAGCATCCTTTACGGCAAAATACTATAAATTGCATGTCTCAGTCTTATTCCGCAACTGCTAATTTATTATTCTTTATACTATCCATCTTTCGTAAGCCCGCTTCTTACCCACAAATCTATTCAGACATACACCTTTTGCGTTGCTCTTACCCAATTACGTACCAGCAAGAGCCCAATTGTAGACATAAACTTGTTATTTAGACACAAGCCCATTGCTCACTCACCGAACACGAGTTGCTCACTTAACGAAAGCTGTCGGCATGGCCATCGATATGTTCTAAAATTCAGTTAACACATTTTTGGGCTTTTTGTGCAAACGATAAGTTTTACAGCGAGCTGCGGTACTTTGCTCAAGCGCATTTCTTTTCAGTTTAAATGTGATTACATTGGAATACTGCGTGTGCAATGCAAATACATATATCGATATACTGCTTCAATATGCGCACGCGCACATATCGATGCCGCCTGCTGTTCGTCGATATATTTTGTGGTTGCACTCAAAGCAGCGCCTAGCAACATTAACGCATTGGCAACATTCGCTGCAGTTGGCAACATACGCTCTCAATAGCCAAAGTCGACGGGGCAGCAGAATCGGTCGGTTTTATTTCAAATTTAATTCCCATTGCACACACGCACACTGTGACAATTTGTTCAAATACATACATAAATAGTTTTTGTTGTTATTGTTGTTGTGTTTTTTTTTTGTCATCTGCTGCAAGTGACACACATATGCAAGTGAGTGTGCGTGTGTGTGTGTGTGTGTGCTTATGTATTTATATAGCATAAACGCAAAGTGAACTTTTTCAAATTGAACTGTCGTTTATTTTTATTTGCAATACGTATGCCAAATTGGCTGTGTGTGTGCTTGTGCGTGTGTGTGTGTGCCTGTATGAAAATATATGTATATAAATTGTAAGTCCTGTTAAGGGCGGGCGGGAGCGGGGGCGGGGGCGGCGCTGTGGCAACGCCAACGCCAACGTCAACGCCACAATTAAATACAAGTGAAAAATCAATACCGTTATACCGTTAGCATTTTGTTGTTGTGCTTGCCTCTGCACATCCCCCACTCAATTCGCCCTGTGTGTGTGTGTGTGCGTGTGCGTGCATGTGTGTGTGCTTGGAATTCTGCGTATTGGCAAACATTCATTGCAATTTTCAAAGAAAACAAGTGCGCTGAAAACTAGACTCCAGCTGCCGCATACATGCACACATGCACACCTACACACCTACATACATATATATGTATTATATATATGTATATATACATATGTATGTATATGAAATACCTTTCCTTCTTGCTGTTGCCAGGCAGGGCAACAAGCGCAGCAAACGACCGTATCAAACCCCACACAGACACACAACCAAGCCCCCCTCCCCCTTCCCCCCTCCTGCGCTGCCCACACATGTTAGGAGCAACTCGTGCGACGTTTTGCAGTTAACCGTTATCCCTGTTTCTTATTCTTTTTGCTGCTGTTCCTATTTTTAGGTCACATTCGATTTTCGCCCTAAGCTCTAAATTCGCTGCGACTGCTGCCGGCTACGCACACACACACACCAACCCACACACACACACAGGATGCTGCTCAATACTTACGCAACGCTGGCGACATCTGACGGCGTAATTAGCCAACACTAACCGTAGCTGCTCGAATTCGCATTCAAACAACAACAACGACTAACGGCAAAAAGGGCAGCCAAAGAGATAAGAAGAAGCAGCAGCGGCAGCGGCAGCGGCAGCAACAGCCATGGCCAACAACAGCAACTCGTCGGCAACCGCATCGCTGGCCACAACGCCGGCGACGACGCCAACAGCGCTGACAACGGCGGCAACAACAGCCAAACGGTTGGGCTACACGGCCCCCGCGGCCACCGCGTCGGTCATCTGCGAGGAGGTCTTCGATGAGGCCTGTTTGCCATCTTCCGAGGGTGAGTTGAACACGGGCCTTACGGGCAAGCACGTAAGACCCTAATCCGTAGAGCAGCCCCCGTACCCTGCCCCCCTGCCCCTGCCCCGTACCCTGCACTCGCCCAGAAGTCAGCTAAGCAATTTCATCAGCATCCGAAACTTGAGTCCTGTGCGCACTCTTTTGCCTTGCGGCAGGTTCGTTTTGCCGAAGAACTGCGTCAACCTAAGTTAAAACTACGCAGTTGCTGTAAATGCAGTAAAAATGACGTTAGCAGTGTTCTTGCTGTGTAGCTAAGATGTGCTTTAACAGAGTTCTTAATGTTAACGTAACGCTGAACATGTTAAAGCGTTGTAAGCGCTGCTGTTAATTGTATTATTGTTGGGGTAGATTGAAAGCTTTGACTGGGATTACATATGTTAAAGTTGCGACTTTTTTGTTAATGCCAGCGCTTATCAAGGTATTTAATTGAATTAGCTAACATGTGCTTTTACATTGCTGTTAATGTTAATGCGACGTTTACTTACTGGGCTAGCTTAAAAGAAATGACTGGGATAGATGTTAAATTGTTAAAAAATTGTTAAAAATGTTAAAAAAAATGATATTGCTATTAGATGACTAACTGACTAGGCTAACATATGCTAAAATAATGCTGTTAATTTGACGCTCAATATGTTAACGCGTTGGGATGGCTTAATGCTATGTGCAAGCAATGTGTTAAAATTGTGACTTTTTTGTCATAAAAGAAACGCTGTTAACAGCATGCATAAATGGGCATGTCACTGTTAATGTAACTGCAAGTATGTTACCTCTTTTAAAGTAACTCTGTTATGTTATGAAACTAATAACTAACATATGCTAACATGATGATGTTTATGTTCTTATATGTGTGTTGTTATATGAATTGTTGTCTGCACCAATATATGTTAAAGTGATCCTATCACTGTTAATGTGACGCTCAATATGTTAGCACTATTTCATATTTTAAATTGTGCTGTAAATGTTATTGTTTTTTATTAATTATTTTAAGCTTTTTAAGGAAAATTAGAGAACCTACGCACCAGATAAATTTCTCTAGCGCTTATATGTTCACTTATGCTAAAAATCGATATTTATCGATTTTGGCCAAACGAAGAGACTTTGAAATATGAAAGAAATGAGAACGTGGATAGTTCACGGGTTCGAATATGCAATTTTTCCCCTCTGACATGTATCTTTAAAACTCTCATTATATCCATTTAAAATCTGTACAGGGTATCAATTCTCTAGGCTCAGCAGATGGCAAAAAGATTTCAAATTCGTTTCCATTTTGATCAAATGTCGCCTAGCGCGTGCTCACTGTACGGGCTACGCCCAATAAGAATGTCCTTTAACAGACTCACTTGTGACAAAGCGAAAGGGAGTCAGTCAAGGGAATTATCGTATGTAAATACATACAGTGGTCGCTCGTGAAGAAGAACTTGCGGATGTAACAAATAGAAATCCACTTTGCATCATTAAAATAAATAAATGTAAACATTAAATGTCGTATTGAATCTTAAATTGTGCAAAATTCTAGGAAGTTGGCCCAGAGAAATTCGAATATTTTCACTGTGGTATATAAAAATAGGATTTACTTATATTTAAAGTTCAGAAATTTCACTTAACCTTCCTTTTTTGTGTGGGCTGCATATAAGAAAAAATCATGTTCTTATTTTTTTAGTATCCCAAACTTTAGCTTATATAATCTCAAATTTTCGTAACATCCAGAATATAATAGACCGTGTTTATAGGCTAAGGCAGACGGACAGCAGACGGAAATATCATCGAACCCGTATGCTTCCCGTATGTCTTCTCTAAGTAAACAGAGCACAAAAATAGAATTTATAATTGAAACAAATAAGAATTTGCATGCCAATAAGAAACTACTTAAAACCGAAGCGTTCCAGTTAGCGAGCGAACACTGTAGCTAAAAAAAAAATGAAGTAAAATATTTAGTGTGTAGGGGTTGTTCATGAGGTTTGTTTAAGGTGCATTGTTTTACGCAGTTCGGTTAATGGGTCAACTTAAAATGTGTGAGAGTGTGCGTGTGTGTGTGTGTATGAGTGTGAGTGTGCGTGAGTATGTGTGTGCCTCGGTGGTTGGTTTATGGTCGGCGTTTTGTTTGGTTAGTTTGGGTCAGCTGTTCAAAGGAGCTAGAACCAGGAAACAAAGGAATTGGAAAATTGTGAAAGTCTGAAACCTGCGGAACATGTGGAAATGAGAAACTCTAAGCGGTTTAAAAGATTTGCTCAACTAATTGAAAGTTGTGACTGCAAACGCATTAAGCGAGTGTGTGTTGGCTCTTCAAATGAACTGGAACTAGGGAACAAAGGAACTGTGCAAACTGAGGAACTTATGGAACATCTGGAATTGGGAAACTCAAAGCCCGTGAAAAGGTTTTCTCAAGTAATTGAAAGTTGTAACTAAGTGCAAATGTTCCAGTTTTAGCTGTTCAAATGAACTGGAACTAGGGAACTATGGAACTAATTGTAAAACCTGAGGAAAATGTGGAATTGGGAAACTTTCAGCTCGTCAAAAGATTTTCTCAAGTAATTGAAATATTGTTTGTGCTTTAGCTGTTTAAATGAACTGGAACTGGGGAACAAAGGAACTGTGAAACCTGAGGAACTGAGGGTCATGTGGAATTGAGGAACTCTAAGCCCGTGAAAAGATTTTCTCAAGTAATTGAAAGTTGTGACAGTTCAAATGAACATGTGGAATTGAGACAGGCAAAACCGCTATAAAGACTGTTGAGCTGTAAGCGAATTAAATGAGTATATGGTTGGGTGTAAACTGTTCAAATGAACTGGAACTAGAGAACTAAGGAACTAAAAACTGTAAAACCTGAGGAACATGTGGAATTAGAAAACTCTCAGAGTTTCTCATGTAATTGAAATGTTTGATTGTGTTTTAGCTGTTCAAATGAACTGGAACTAGGGAGCAAAGGAACTGTGAAACCTGAGGACCTTATGGAATTAAGAACTAGTGTGCGATTGTGTGCGATTGTGTGCGATTGTGTGCGAGTGGTTGGCTATGACGACGAACAACCCTGAAAAACGCAGCGACATATTGCGCACAACTTGGCCAAAACGCAACGTTTCTTTCTGTGGCAATTGACGTTGCCAGGCAACCAGCGCTGACCGCTGCAAGAGATATGCTTGTGGTTGACGGTGCAGGTGGTGCCACAATCAATAAGAGGCAGAGAGAAAGAGAGAGAAAGAGAGAGAGTGACAGAGCGAGAGAGAGAAAGCGAGGCACAGGCCGCAGGACGTCAATTGGCATTCAGTCGCGTTTCTTAGCCGGGCTTTCATTCTGGTGTCGCTTTGTTTGGCCAAGCCAAATGGAATTTTTAAGCGCTTAGACCAAGCTTTTGCCAGATCCGAGATTGGTTTCTTTTCAAGTGAAAAGCAAGCGTCATATTGAAAGCAAAGTCACATATTTGCCAGGAATTTCCTTTTCACGTGCTGCCTGGATCAGGAGGAGGACAAACAGCTGCTGGGCGCTGGGTTTGACACAGTTCGTAAGCTTTTCATTAGTCCCAATTACCATTAGAGGCCCTTTTGTGCGCCCCTATACACTCTGGGCCAACAAGCTTGCCAGCCATTAAGTGGGCCACTTCAAAACAAAAGCCAAGGCTCTTCACTTTTCTGAGCCCTCTAAAGCAGATTATATCTTATATGTTTATTTAATATTTATAAGAAATGAATATGTGTATATATGTATATACAAAGGAGAACTACTTAACATCATTTGTTTTGTGTGTTTTCCTAGCTTAAACGCGCTTTTAACTAAAAAGAAGCTAGAAATATCATTAAATCCGTTTTAAGGCACATTCAGCTTGAATTTAGCTACTGATTGGCCACAAATTCAACTGCTTTCAAGTTCTTTAACCGCTTTTTTCCCATTTGAATAACTTATTTTAAGTAGCCTTTAAGCGGTTTTTAGATGAAGGTGAAGCCAAAAAAGCCGCTAAATCTCTTTTAAAACACATTTAGCTTGAAATTAGTCAGAAATTTAACTCGTTTCCTATTTTTAGCCGCGTTTTATTTAATATTCCATTTACAAAAACGTTTTTATCTGATCTCAAAGCGACTTAAAGCCCGCTTTTAAATAAAAGTGAAGCCAAAAACATCGCTACATTTGATTAAACGCACATTTAGCTTGAATTTAGCTACTGATTGGCTACAAATTTGATATATTGAAGTATCTTTAAACATCATTCAATTAAATTAATCGCTTGAATAACGCTTTTCAGCTAGTTTTAAACCTGCATTAAACCCACTTTCAACCAAAACTGAAGCCAAAAAGTCACCAAAAGTGCTTTAAAGCACATTTAGCGTGAATATAGCTACTAATTGGCAACAAATGTGTCTCCTGGCATCTCCGATCCCGCAAACTATATATATATATATATATTTTCTTGATCAGCATCAACAGCCGAGTTCATATAGCCCATTTCCGTCTGTCTGTCCGTTTGTCTAACTTTGCAAGGGTAAGTCTTTCTGTTGCAGGCAGTACATATATCGGAACCGATCGGATTGAAGCGCTATATCATATAGCTGCCGGTCGAAAAGTGGGCTCTGCTATGGCATACTTTAAAGTTTACCAAACTCGTCATTTATAAATTTCACTATGCTTTCTACACAAAAAACTGTTTTGTTTGCCAAGATATACTATTTAAGCTGTGATGCCTTTATACTCTATATTATATGTATAGCTCTATAGGAAGAATCGGCCAAATATTCCAAGATATTTTCAGCATATCCAAGATATTTCACAATTCTCACATAACTGCCAAACTGTTGGGCAAGGGTATTAAAGCCTCGGCGTGCCAAAGATATTCTCACTTTCTTCTTTGTAGAACCAAAGTGGGCTTAGTAGGCGTGGCAGCTGCTGTGAGGCAACAAAATTGTCGCAACTGGGCTTCCAAACTGCCAGCCTAAATATCGATACAAATAATATAAGTAATTGTAATTGTAGTAATAATAATATCTTGTTCTCTTCGATTCGCAGAGATAAACGATTATGCGACTCTGATTGGCATCGAGCCGAGCAAGGAGCCGCATCTCTTGTATCTGGCCAAGGAGGGGCTTATGGCCGCATTGCCCCCAGAGTGGAAGATCTGGTGAGTATTCCCAGAGAGGGACTGCAACTAGGTAACGATGCACTTTCACTTACTCTCTGCCTTCTTCCCATTAGCTATTCGGAGGAGAAGAGCGGCCATTATTATTACAATACGCGGACAAAGCAGTCGCAGTGGGATCATCCGTTGGACGCCGTCTATCGCGACCTGGTGGAGCAGACGCGCCAGCGGCTGCTGTTGGGCACCGGGTCAGCTGGGGCTGCCACGCCCATTATTGATAATTCCGACGATGTGTCGCAGCTGGACTCGGGCATACGCAGCATGCAGGGCACCGACGAGCTGCTGGACGACATGAGCTCGCCCCTAAACAATGTGGCCAGCCACCAGCTGGCAGCTGGCACAGCAGCAGGAGCAGGAGCAGGAGCAGGAGCTGGAGCTGGAGCTGGTGCTGGGAGCAGCGGCAGCAAGTCGCATGCCAGCACATCTGCCGCTTTTCCGGGTCCCAGCGGGTTTAGCGGCGGGGTCAGCCGCTTCCTGGAGACGCGCGGCAAGAGCTTCGGGCCGATCTTCCAGCCGGTGAAGAACACGCGCTTCGAGGTGGCCAAAACGAATACGCAAATCAGTTTGGCCATGAAATTCGGATCAACGTCGGCGGGCAGCTCCCTGGCGGAGTCACAGCCTCAGTCGCAGTCGCAGTCGACGCTGGAGCAGCGCAAGAGCGGATTTCAGCTATCCGGCACCGGGGCCATGTTCCTCAAGTCGCGCCGCCAGCTGGAACCAACGGGCGCAACGGAGGCGGGCGGAAATCTGGTGACGGGCAATGCCTATGGCGTCAAGGGCATATTGCGGGACACCAGCTTAACGGACATGCGACGTCGCTACGAACGGGACGAGGACTCCACGACGACAACAACAACAACGACGGCGGCGGAGGATAAGAAGAGCGTGCGCTTCAATCTGGTGGAGACGCAGCGCATCTGCAGTTCGCCCGTTGAGGAGGAGAATGCGCGCAAGCAAAACCAATCCCCAGAGCTGTCGGACGAGGAGGCGGCCGAGGTGGAGCACGAGGAGCAGCACGAACAGCAGCAGGTAGCTGAGGACGAGGACGAGGACGAAGACGAAGAGGATGTGGCAGCAGAGCACGAAGACAATGCCGATGTCGACGACGACGTGGAGGAGGAGGAGGAGGACGAGGAGGACGAGGATGAGGATGACGACGACGATGATGTCTGGGACGAGGATGTGGCCGACCCGGACGCCATGGTGGGCATGTGCAGCCTGAATCCCTTCATCAGTGACTCGCCAAAAGGCATCCGGATCATCAGCCTGCCCAAGGCGCAGACCATACAAATGCTGAAGGCGCAGGAGGATCTGCCCGGCCACCAGCTGGGCGGCAAGGCAGACCGGCTGCCGGGCGAGACGAGTAGCTATCTGGACAAGCTGAAGGAGTGCGCCGGCGGGGCGACAGTGAAGCCCCTGTACGAGGACACCGACTCGGACTCGAAGGGCAGCTCGGTGCGCAGTTTCATTATCAACAAATCGGAGCAGGATAATCCCTTCGACCACGGCCACGATCTCGAGCAGCTGCAGCGCAAATCGATGCAGGCCCAGGCGCAGATGGCCAGCGAAAAGCTGGGCCTGCGCAGCCTCAAAATGGCCAGCAAGCTGGTCGGTCTGCTCAAGAGTAAGGAGCAGCAGCAGGGGCAGCAGCAGGGGCATGCTCCCGTCGGTAGCGAGATGCTCAGCGAGGCGGCTGCACTGCATCAGCTGCAGCTGCAGGACATGGAGGCCATCAAGCGGGAGCACGAGGCGCGCCTCAAGAGCCTGCGCCACGAGTACGACTCGCGGCTGAGCGCCCATCAGCACCAGCTGGAGGAGGCGTTCCAGCTGCAGCTGGAGGAGTATCGCGGCCAGCTGGAGCAGCAGCTGCAGTCGAAGCGCGCCCAGGTGGTGCACGAGCACAAGCAGCGCATGGCCACGCTGCAGACGAACCATGCCGAGCTGCTGCACGAGCTGGAGCGCGATCTGCGCTCCGAGCAGGAGCTGCTGCGTCGGGAGCACGCCACAAAGCTGAGCCAGATGCGCGACAAGCTCAGCCACGAGCTGGAGCTGGAGAAGCAGCGGCTGCGCGACAATGGCGAGGAGCGCCTCTACGAGAAGGTGCGCTGCGAGAAGCGCCTGCTGGAGGACAAGTATCGCTGCCTCAAGGAGAAATATGTGCGGCTCAAGACCGACGTCAAGCTGTCGCTGGAGCGGCGCAGTCGACGCCGTGAGGCGCAGGCGCTGCAGCATCATCACCAGCAGCGGCTGGAGCGCGGCCAGGATCAGCAGCTGGAGCAGCAGCTGGACCAGCAGCTGGAGCATGGCCAGAGCAATACAACGCATACAACAACCACAACCAACTCGGAGACGGAACGCTCGCTCTCGCAGAAGCCATCGATTGGCAACAGCGAGAACCGTTCGCTCAGCTACTCGGAACAGGCGACAGCCGGAGCTATCGGCGGCAAGCTGAAGCCGCCTGTGCCGCCCAAGACGCACCTGAGCAAGCCGCCGGGCATTGCCAGCAAGTACATCAAGCAGCTGCAGCTGCAGGACGACACGAACACCTCGCTCAGCCAGTCGGACACGACCATATCCAACAACTACAGCAAGGGTCGCTATCTGGCGGCGCCCACCACCACCGCGAGCACCGTCGTCGTGCTCAGCGATAACGGCAACTCCGACTCGGAAGCGGCGCGAGACCAGCAACATCAGGAGACCAACAACAGCAGCAACAGCAACAACAACAACAACAACAACAGCAATAACAACAACAACGGCAATAACAAGTTGTCGACGCCCCGCAAGAAACTGTTCTCGCGGACGAAGTCGGCGTCGACGTCGCGCCTCAATTCGGATAACTTCAAGCAGCAGGTGGAGCAGCAGCGTCCGTGCACGCCGGTCGAGAATCTGCGGCATCAGCTGCAGAAGCTCGAGGATCTGGAGGATCAATTCCCGGAGCACACGCTGGACACCACCTATCATCTGCGCTATCCGTTCACGGACATCACCGGGGAGCATGCGACAGCTGTTGGCTCCGTGGTTGGCTCCGAGCTGGAGTTCTTTAAGCATCGCATCCACTTGGAGCGCGACTCGGTGCGCCGGGCCAAGGAATCGCTGCGCACGCAGCGCACCAACTTTCGGGCACGCCAGCGCGAGATAAAGCAGCGCCACAAGAGCCTGGCACTGGCCGCCGCCACCCGGCACTCCTTGGACCAGCTCATTCAGGAGGAGAAGGAGCTGACCGAAATGGAGGTGAATCTGCATCGGACGCGTGCGCTGCTCGGCGAGAAGGTCATCCGCTTGCGTCACCTCGAGCAGAGCCTGTTGCGCATCTACGAGAAGGAAAAGCAGCCGAGTCTCGAGCCGGAGCCCAAGGACGAGGCTGCCACGCTCAGCGATCTGTCCTCGCACTCCAGCTCCGGCTTCAGCAGCACTGACTTCGCCAGCGGCGCCGATCTGCACAAGCGCAAGGAATACTTCCAGCAGGAGTCTAACGAATGCATACAGAATCTCGAGATACTCAATGCCGAAATACGCGAAATCCTCGACATACTCAGCCACAAGCAGCAGCTCCAGCACCAGCAGCAGCTCCAGCAGCAGCAGCATCCGCATCCGCATCATGCGCAACTGCATCAGGCACATGGCCTGGCCATGGCCATGCCGCTGATCTCGCCCAACGAGCTCAGCTGGTCGCACATGCTCAGCCAGCAGTCATCCCTGGGCGCCACACCCGGCACGGCCACGGTCACGGGCAACGGCAGCGGCACGGCCAGCGCTGGATCCAATCCGAGCATCAGCGGCAGCGCGCTGCATGCACCGCAATCGATACCGACGCTGGCGGATCGTTTGGAGACCTATCGCCAGCTGGCCGCCGGGCGCATGCACAGCTCGATGGGCGGCGCGATATTGGCGGCCAATACGATTGTGTCGCAGAGTCCGCGCGCCGTCAACTACACGACCAGCCTGGTGGAGCGGACCCGCGACTTGCGCAACTGGCTGCGCCAGGCGAAGACCGAGCACGAGCTGCTCACCGGCATGGGTGTCCAGCACGGCTTGGCCCTCCATGCGGCCACCACCAGCAGCAGCTCGGTGCCCGGCATCAGCGGCATCAGCGGCATCGGCGGCATCGGCGCCGCCGTCGGTGGCCATTCGGCTGCCAGCGGGGGGGCGGTGGGTGGTGGTGCGGCGGCGGCGGCGGCGGCGGCGGGCGGCAATTGCTCGACTGCTGCCCAAACTAATTTGTAAGCGCAAGCCCCAAGCACGCACATCTAGTCCATGGACAGAGTCTATAGATACCCTCTAAAAAGATAAGTAGCTGTATTTAGCCCATTTTTATGCCTTTTGTGTCTGCCTTTTACTCAGCCTAGCATTGTTTTTCACTGAGTTGCCACAGCTGCGCGCATACCCTGTAAATGCTTTTACAGGGTATATCCTCGTGCAGCTTGATTGTTTTAGTTATATCTAAGTTTTAAGTGTTTGGACAACTTGTTTTAAGCTAGTAAGTTGACTAACCTACCATAAAAACGAATATCTATATATATATACATATATACCCTATAATTTATTGCATATAAGGTATGCCCACAGTTGGCCCGACCAAGCGGCGCTCAACTAGAGAAATCACAGTCGAATGGCAAACAAAAGCGAAATCATTGAGATTCTAACTAAGTACATTAACTGCAAGTTAATCTGACTGTCATAGTTAATTAGCAGCTTACACTGAAAGAAAAATAATCATAATTAGTCAGCCAAATAATTGATTGTTGCAAATATTTGGGCCCCGCAAATGTTTAGCCAACCAATTCGCATCAAGTTCACAAAAAGCTCTCGAAAATGCGAATAAACCAAGAGATATTCTAAAAAAAAAATATCTATAAAGCAAATAGATAAAAGACAGAATAGAAGATAAACCAAATAAAAACAACTAACTTCGGCGCGCCAAAGTTGAATTACGCTTGCAGAGCTGAAGCCCATATATAGCCGGAAATATTTCCATATGAAAAATCTTATTTACTTTTTGATTTTTTACCTGTTTATGCAATGATATTGTGGTCCGTTATTAACAAGATTTTGCGGGGATCTTAAACGCGAAGTAAAGCTACGTTTAGTAAGTAACTATATAAAATAGTTGTCCGATTTGAGTCTGAAGTTTGACTATATCTTTTCAATGCCAAGAGGATAACTTATAGGCTATATTGGCACGATCCAGCCCATTCCGATTTCTAGCTGAACCAGAATATATATATCATAACGGTATACGCCTGCAAGCGTGTAAAACCTAGATAGTTTTGTGTACTCTTATATTTTATATAAATATATAAATAATTATTTTGATATAATTTCTGAATCTGACTAAAAACTTAAAATGCACAACTAAATACTTTATATAGCAACTTGAAGAACTATCAAAAACTATATGTGTTATATAATTAACAATGATGAATTAAAAAATACCAAAGACATCAAAAATAATACTAAATACGTAAGCAAAGACGAACTTAAGCCGAATAAGAACTTACTCTACTCAAATGAAATGAAACAAATGTCTAGAAAAGTAGATCCTAAAAAACTAAAAAAAAAAAAATATGAGTAAAACATAAAATACTTAAAGTAAAATATACCGAAAAATTAGCTAAATAATTCAAATCAAATAATGCTCACGGCAAACTGACTTTACAGATCTTGACTAGTTATGTAATGCATACAATTTTCTGCAACTTTCATGTTCGGTATTTTTAGTATATTTGTTGGTATTTTTCTTTGTATTTTACATATCAGTGAAAAGTTTTGCAACAAAAGATCTTTAAAGTTAGTTTGTCTCGTGCATGACAACAAATTGTACCAGAGTTGAAACAAAAACAAAACAAAACAAAAAAAAAAACCATAAGATAAATATTATTAAATGTTTAAATGTTTTATCTTATAGATATTGAAGATAGAAGAGAGAGAGAACGCGAACTCGAAGCACAATTAAATGGAATGCAGGTCACATATTGTTGAAGGTTGTTGTAATGTTTTTTTTTTTTTTTTTTTTTGTAAGATTTGACAAGATAGATATGTCTCGTGGCAGAACCCAAATACATTTATACGATTTAAACTATTTATGTAATAAAAAATAACTATGAAAAGTATATGAAGAACTTTTCGTAAAACCAATATTCCAAAATATGAACTTAGCTAATGTCTCTTAATGTTTTCTTCTCTTCCCAACTCAATATATATATATATATATATATATATATATATTTTGAATAAAAGCAAGAAGAAGAAGAGGCATACAGAACAGATTCCAAACAGTTGTAAACATTTTCTACTAATATTTTCTATGGCATTTCTATTGTAGAAAATATATGAAAAATTATATACTTCCGACACTTTCAGTTCCTGTGCACACACACACACACACATAGAGAGAGAAATGTAGAAGGTTAAGTCTGAATTTGAATAATCGATAACTGACAAGTTGTGCCCCCGCCCTTGCCCCCGCCCCGCCCCGCCCCTTGATACATTCAAAGAAGTTAAGATTAAAGAGCAGCAGGCCCCGAGTAGTAGGAAGTATTCGAGTCTCGCTAAATGCCATATATATATATATATATATATATATATATATTATATACACATACTTAATGCGATGCCTACGATTATTATCGAATAACGATAACCGATTAACCATTCTATATATATATATATATGTATGAACTTATGTATATGTGATGTTGTGATATTTGACTCTAGCCATATAAGACCTTAATTGAGTTTAAATACGTTTCTATATGTAATATTCAGTGTGAGTTCACGATGATATAGCCACATTATGTTCATTTACCCCCCCCCCCCCCATCCCCCACACACACGCAATACCTCTCCCCCTCACAGTCAACCCATTGCACGCGTCAATTGGCTTTTTTCCCCTAGATATATTCATGTGATAGCTAATCGATAAATTATATCCAGCATCTGATCAATGGCATTGCGAGTTCAGTTTTTGCTAGTTAAGTATTATACAAAATTAAAGTTTATATATCTATATAGTATATAACTGAAGCGTACATATATATATACATATGCATATATGTATATGTCTATCGAGCATTCGAGCTGTACGCTTCAGTTATATATATATATATAAATATATATACATATAGTATATTCAATCTATATTCAGATGATAAATGTCTATATCTATATATATGTCTATATATATACATAAGCATTCCTGGCTGCAAAACCCATTGTAATATGCTTTGCCATGCTACGGTTTTGGGTTTGAACCAGCGACCCGGACGTTAGCTGAGCTTCGTGAAATTGGCTTTCAACATTCTAGAACTCCGAACAATTTTGGCAATCTTTCTTCTGTTGCACGCAGTACATACATATATCGGAACAAGCCGGATCGGAGCACTATATCGTACAGCTGCCATAGGAAAGATCGCTGGAATATGGAATGAATCTTATATGGCAAAATATTCTGTTGTCAAAGATATTTGCATCTATGTACATATCTGCAAAAGGGAAATATCTGCAAGGGTATTAAATCTTCGACGTTCCAAAGATTCCAAAGTTAATAAAGAAACAATTTAAATTTCAAACACAAAATTCAACTAACTCGTCTTGGATTTAGTTTTGATCTGAAAATCGATTTGCAGCCCGAATGTGTAACCTTATATATAGATATATATACATATTAATAAATAACTCATAGCTTGCGTACGGTTAGCAAAAGTTTGAATTTTCAGCCAGGCACAAATTAACAGTTACGATCAAATAAAAACTCATAGCAAGCCCCTCTATAATACAAATACTCTACAATATTTACAAAAAGCAAAAAACAAAATTAAAAATCAAAAAAAAATAATTGTTGTTTCGGTTTTTTCTCGACGGTTGAGTACAAAAGGTTTTCGGACTAAGGAAAAATATAAAAAAAAACAAACAAAAAAATTGAAAAGAAAGAAATTATGAGAAATGTTTATTAATTAATTAACTGAATATAAATGTGAAAAATTTATTATATTTATCTATTACGATATGATATAGGACTAAAGAACTGGGCAAAGCTGCGAAGACAGACAATTTATTAGCGAATGTGTTTACCGAATTTGCTTCAGCAACAGATTAATAAAAATACAAATTAAAATCAAATATAAATAAATCGAAAGTCAAGTAAATATTGTGAGTTAAACGAAAGTCCCCTTAAATGAAATAGACAAAACCCGGAAGAACTAAATATTTAGCACGAAATTTAACAGACATAAAACAAAATTAAAGAATACAAAATAAATACAAAAATTATCATAATGTCTTTTATTTTATAAATATGGATTTAGATACTAGATACTAGATACTAGATACTAGATACTACATACTACATGCTACATACTACATACTACATACTACATACTACATACTACATACTATATACTAGATACTAGATACTAGATACTAGATACTAGATACTAGATACTAGATACTAGATACTAGATACTAGATACTAGATACTAGATACTAGATACTAGATACTAGATACTAGATACTAGATACTAGATACTAGATACTAGATACTAGATACTAGAAACTAGAAACTAGAAACTAGAAACTAGATACTAGAAACTAGAAACTAGATACTAGATACTAGATACTAGATACTAGATACTAGATACTAGATACTAGATACTAGATACTAGATACTAGATACTAGATACTAGATACTAGATACTAGATACTAGATACTAGATACTAGATACTAGATACTAGATACTAGATACTATATACTATATACTAGATACTAGATACTATATACTAGATACTAGATACTAGATACTAGATCCTAGATACTAGATAAAAATATATATAAAGATACTAGGAATAGTATCAACTCATAAAGTATATTTTTTAAAGAAGAACTAGATAAAATCCATTAATTATAATTATTTAGAGATTTTGTTTGTAATATTAATTTAATTCACAACTTTTTGCTTGAAATAAAGAATATTTTTATTTGTATAAAACACTATATGTTATTGATTACAATAATAATTTTATAATTTTTATTTTATAGAAGAAGTTTAAGCTCTTGCCTTTAATACTTATTCGAGAGATTTAAAGTTGCTTTTAGTTTTTTGCCTCAAGAAAAAGATGTTTATATCTATACAAATTATTTTTAATTGAATTAAGAATATATTCATTAGCATGTATTTTTTAATTGCTTACGACAAGTTGAAGTTACGAAAGAGTGGAGCGGCTGGCAAAGTCTATTGATGAAAGAAGCCGAAAGGCTCTTGAGTCTGAGAGAAGTTAGAAGTGTATATAGCCCATGCGAGAATATGTACATTTACCAAGATAAATGTAACTAGATCCTTTAGGAACCTGGTCTCAAAATCGATATTTATCGACTTTACAAAAGAGATATCTGCAAAAACCATTCTGCATAGCGAGTATCTTATATTGAGTCTGATAAAACTATTGTTAGAGCATCTTTAATTTGATTTCCATATTGCGAACTAAAAATTTAAAATAAATTAATGTTAGAATTCTCAGTCAATATGCAGTATGTTCTCGGGATCCACGTAGCTGCAACAGTGGCTCAGCACCCACTTGAAGAGCTGGACGCTGGCGCTGGTTATCAGATTTAAAAACTTGGCAAATGCATCGCCGTTGTTCATCTCCATGTTGCAGGTCTTGCCGAAGTTCTCCCCCACCTCCGTCTGGGTTAAATTGTCGTTCAGCCAGCGATCCATTCTAGCCAAAAACTCGGATCAATGCACCTCCATTTCTTATGTCGTCTAATATAAAGCACTTACCCAATGGCCCCTGCTCAAAAGCTCAAATACACATTACAGAATTTTTGAGAAAAATTTCTAAAGTTTTCACAATTTTAGCCCGAATCGGATGTATAAAATGTTCTGAATGTTTTCCAATATCAGCATTGACATTTCGTCTTGCAGTCGAGACAAAGCAACATTGATTTGAAAATAAAAAAAACACAAATGCTTTGGTTAGATGTGTCAAACAATCCCAAGGTTACATACAATTTTTAATAAAAAATGGATCGGTCAGGATGTCAAAAAAATCAAAATCTAAATTATGACCAAAATCAACAAAACGGCAAGGGGTTACATCACGTTTTCTCTCAAATTCGGGGTCGGTTCGAAAATCAAAACTTTTTTGATGATTTTTATTGAATATCTCGGGTAAATTCTGTCAGATTTTGAAATGTTATACCTTTTTGAAATTGACGGGTTCCCTACTATCAATCTGCATTCAAACATTTTCAAAATCGATGGGTTAAAAAAATTGGTTGGCCAAAAACGGTTTCGTTGGTGAAGTCAAATTTTTTTGATGATTTTTTGGAATATCTCGGCCAAATACTGTCCGATTTGGGAATTTTATACCATTTTGGACTCGTAAGGATCAGTACTATCGATTGGCATCAAAAAAATAAAAATATAAATTTTGACCAAAATCAACAAAA